CCTTTGAAGTCTTTATTAATTTTGTGGTTTTGTTCTGATTTGTGTCCATCTTTGGCACTTATATGATTGCAGCTACGATCGGATTTCTAGCATAAATGCGCAAATTTTGGACCATCATGCCATAACTCTTCTCAGACTACAATGAATTTTTTAACGTCAGTGTTGATTGGTATCTTAAGATGGCTGGTTTTTTATCTTTCATCAGCGTTTATTAGGAAATAAACCAAAGCTATTTTAAGGCTTCATTGAGCTTCATTGGAAAAGTTCGATGTTGCAGTGTCCCACCTGCCAATTCGCTACACATTGTTTGTTATGTTACTTGAAATAGATGAGATTCTGCACAAACATTTTTTTGCATTAACAATTGCAATCTCTTTTTCTCGCACTCATGTTTCCTTTAAAATCTTTCCGTCCTATATACACATCCTAAACACTTTTCCTTCACAATACATGTGTCATTTGCGTTATGTCGATACAGTGAATTTTGGCGTTATCTCTTATCTATCCGTAGAGGTGTTGTTCTTTTCTATAGGGACTTATAGTGTTGCGTTAGTGCCATGTCGATTTTTTTTCCTACTAAAACTATTTTTGGATGAGTTTCACGGATTTTTCGAAAACCATCGTAAAAATTTGTCTTGCGTATTACATTCTCTTGCAATAACCCAAGTCTCATTATTGGTCGGTGGAACTTCAAAGGGACTGCAAAGTGGTTTAAAAGGCATCATAAACGAATGCCTTTATCCCGGTTTTAGTATTTATGCATTCCATAAAAAGCAACTGAAGATCTGGAGTTACGCAAGTGCTCACAAGTTTTTCCTCCTTTTTGAGTGGTGCCTTAAAAGGTTAGCGATAGGCTAGTGTCACTGCAAACGCGGCCCTCCAGTTAGTTCTCAATACGTGTGCGCTAAACGAATCCACGCATATTCATCCTCGTGCGGTGCCATCACCCAGTAAGGTTATTGTTAAAACTTTGTGGATGTCTGCATTCGCTTAAGTCATTTGTTTTCCTTCCTTCTAATGCGCATTTTGAGACCTCGATTGTACGCAGATGTTGGTAAAGAAGGAGGCACTTAGAAGCGTTTGCACCTGCCACTTAAAAAAACCCTGGTATAAAAACATGAAATAATAAAAATGCGCCATTTTATTTTGGATTTGGAGACCATGATTTTTGACACTGATTCTGACAAAAGGCAGCTTCGAACAACCCCAATTTTGCTCCTAAACCAAGTTTGCATTCCATTCCACCTATTGTGCACATCACTTTGATCATCTTCACACGACCTGCAAGGTTGGTGAGTGGTATACCCACCCTCCTCCGCCAACTTGCGTGTGGTGTAAACTTATTCAGGTGAGCTCCCTCCTCAGCCAATCAACACCGCCCTCTGACTGCCCAATGAGGAGTAAAGGCTTGGTAACACTTTTTGACCAATCATCTCAAAGCCCTTCCCCTTCCCTTCTCATCCCACTCGCAATTAATCCTCCAATTGGCCCAGAGTCTCTATTATCAATTCTCGCTCAGGCTCAGTGAATTGCATTTCTTCAATTATCACTAGAGCGACGAGATGAATATTCGGTCTTACGACTCTCTGGATAGGCCACCAAATGAGGACGCATCCAAAAAACGATGCCTCATCCCAATTGCCGTGATGGCACAAGTGAGTCAAATGGCTAGTCACTCTCTCTTTTCGAATGAATAAATGCCTTGATGCGGTTGACTACCAAGACTAAAAACTTTTAAAAGGAAATTGCCCAGTCACTCGCCTTGAAGTTTTCACTAAGGGTTATTCCATCCAATTAAAAGCAAAGTACTCTCAAGACATTATGCGACATGGAAATGCAGTCTAGAAACTTCATAATGGACGCATGCGGACCCCACTACAGCCGTCTAAACCCGTGCCTCCCATCACAATGGCGGCGTCACCTCATTGGTCGCTCGAACTGCGCGCGTACCTCAATTGTTTCGATAACGATGGAACAAATAAATCCCCTTTTTTTGTGGTTCAATCAATCGGAATGGATTCAGTCGTTGCGGCTTCATAACGGATGTTGACAATTCTGCCTTACTTTTACCAATTTGCCAAATGTTACATTGATAAGAACCATCTGTCAGGTTTCGCCAACCTAGGTGGACACAAGTTTAAACGATGGTGAACACTTTTGAGAGTTGATTCGTGTAGTCCCACTTCACGGGCCTTAATTTAATGTATTAAAAGTAGTCGCGACTGCTTGACTGTTTAGAAGTCCTTGTTAGTGCTGATTGTAGCTGGAGCTGTCATTATCCGAACTGACAAAAAATGACGGTTTATTTCCCATTCGTAGCATCTTAATGGGAACTTCCACTATGTCATGGTCAAATGAGCAAAAAAGTTGTCGAGTTTCATTTAACCCAATTCTCCATAACTTTTGCCGTCGAAGTTAGTTCAGTGCTGCCATTAGCAGCCAATTAAGCTTGAGCAAAGTACATTTTTAC